TTATTAGGAACTCAAAGTTCCGTCTCTGCTGAAATGTAGTGGTCCAGAGCACAGGGAGGACAGGCCACGGTATTAGGGAACTTGTGGTCTTGGCAGAGAAGTACATTAAAGCATATTTCAGGAATGTATGTTGTTTGAGCAGAAGTATATGTCTCTATTCAAGTGATCCCCCTTACATTTTTTCCATAATACTAGGTGTATTATGGAAATAATACACCTACTCCTTTGGAGATAACTAGATATTTGAAATTAGCTCCAGTGTCTAAACATGTTATCAAATATTTGGGGGCACATTCATTCATTTAACCAGTATTTACTGAGTGTTTACTTTGTGACTCACAGTTCTGGGTGTGGAGAACACAACCACATAAAAAATGTCCCACTCTCATCAAACTTACATTCCAGAGCGTCTTTATACCTTGTAGCCCAAATGCTACTGTTTTCCCAAGGACTTGGTGTATCAACTTGATTTTACTGGTTCCCCTAGTTATAAAAGTAATTGTTGTATATTGAAAACAATGTATGGTGTTACAGAAAATGAAGATTCTTTTGTAATCCTACCCCTTGGCATTTACCATGAGTAGTTTAGTGTTTATACTTAGCAACTATAAAACTAGTTTTTAATTTGAAAATTGGATCATTGTTCTATAAACTATTTTTTTCACTTAGCAACACAGTATACCAATACAGCATACCATGAGTATGTTTTTATAACAATGCATCTAGACCTAACTCTTCCTTTTTACTGGTTGCACAAATGCCATTATAGATAGACTATAATTTATTTTAACCATTCTTCCATTGATGTGAATTTATTTCCAGTTTTTCCATTATGGTTAGTGGTGTATTTAAGAATTCTTTGCATACCTTATTTTCAAACTCACATCATGGGACCTACAGGGAGACGGGGAGAGCTCTAGTTCACAGCTGTCTCACTGCACTGGGGAGACAGAAATCGGAGTTTAGAGACTTCGGGCAGCCAGTTCCTAAGGACTTAAGATCCCAGAAGAAAGAGCGGTATAGAGCAGGGAGCCTGGGGCTCTGCGTGCCATTTCCCTTCGAGGCTTTTCCAATTCCTAAATTGTGCGTGCTCAGGGTAAAAGGCTGAGAAACCCAGCAAAAATCAGCTCAGTGCTAACAATCTCAAAATCTAGGGAGCATCTCACCTGCTTTTCTTTCTTTATTTCCTTCGGGAGGTGGGGAGGCAGGAAGAAGGCCTTGAGTGCTGAGCTAAAGCCTAGGAGCCTGTAGGAAGCTCCCAGAGGGTTGTAAAGGAATTGAGGGCCTGCCTAGGAATCAGGTTATCAGTGTTGGCCTGGAACAAAACCTGTGACTCGCCTGCCAATGAGGAGACTGCACCAGGGAGTAGTGCCCCCTCACAGTCACACTCACCCACAGCGGCAGAGCTAAGACCCTAACCCCTAGTCACTCAGCTTTCTTAAAACTCCAGCAGGCGCTTCAAAGCCACATGGGGCTTGTGTGTGCAAGAGCAGGTCAGCATCAGGAGAGGTCTGCCCAAAGTGGGAATTTGAACAATGAAAGGATGGAGATGAGTTGGAGGCCAGGAAATGGGGAGAGATCAGGAAAGAAGAGTTCAAGGATAGGAACAAGACCCAGAGTTCTCCCGCAGGGAAGAACATGGAAGAGACCTAGAATCAGAAAGTAAGAAGGCTAGAGGAGCCTGCTGGGGGTGGATGGCAGGCGGGATGGGAAAGCCGATTGCTGTGGGAGCTGCTGAGTCTCATGGACTGGAAAGACGTTGAGGTAGAAATGGCCAGCGGGCAACTGGAAACAAGGCCCTGCAGTTTAAAGGAGGTTAGGGCTTTTACCGGATGCCAATCCATTCCTTCCTTTGTTCTCTCCTCTTGACCATCTTTCCTTTTATAAATTTGGGGATCAACATATAACTGAAGTTGAAGAAATGGATGAGATCTTTAAGTGAAAAAGTAGATAAAGAAAAAAGTGTTAAGCATGGTGTATTTGTTTTGACTATTTTTCAAAAACCCGATATTGATCATCTGATTCATCATGAAAATTAGATGTCATGGCTGGAATCCCAGGAGGGGTCGTCTGGATGGATATTACTTGCCTGCCTGATGCCCACAGGACACACGGTAGGTGGAATGTAGTTCCCTCCACGTCCGAGCATCTCAAATCTTCTAAAGCTTGTGTTGAGTTCAAACTTGCTTGTTTACAACACTTGCTCATTCATTCTATAATTTAAATATTTAAACTTTTATCTACTTTTCACGGTAAAATAGTACAGCTTAAGGAACATAGTAGGCCTCACTAATTACTTACAATTGGCCAACTAATCATCAGCATATAATTATTTCCAAAGAAGAGCAAAACAACCTGATCTACTTTTTTTTCATTTACTAGATTTGAAAGACTGATGCTATGTTTCATCAGCAAGGATGTGGGTACTGAACACATTCTCACTCTCTGTTGGTGAGGTACCACCTGACCCATCTTTCTGGAGGACCCGCTGTCGAAAGGCCCCCAAGTTTAAAATGTCCATTTTTAATCTAGCATTTCTATTTCTAGGAATTTATCTTAATGAAATGAGTAGAGAACTGTTCAAATATGCACACTCATCAAGTATATCACCCATTGGCTTGTTTTTGTTATAAATGTTTTAATTGAAGTATAACACACCCATTGCAAATATACAAAACTTAAGTGTATAGCTCAATAAATTTTTACCAAGTAAACACACTTGTATATCTGCCATCGAGGTATAGAACATTACTGGCACCCCAATCTGCCACACACATGACCTAGCTTATAATATATTAGTATGGTAAATTGATAAAGCTGTTTGTCCTAGGGATAGTATCAAAGTTATATATTTCCCACTGTAATGGTTCTCTACTATTAAATAAATTATTGAATCTAATGTATGCAACAAAATAGTATTAGAAAGAGTCTGACTTATTTTTGTTCATTTTTAAAAATTTGGTTAGGTATTTTATTTTTTTCTCAATAATTTTATTTAGTTATTTTTCAAGTACAGTTTTTGCCTGTTTCTCCCATCCCAGCCCCCCCCCACCCCGTGCTCCCCACCTCCCTCCCCTTTCCACCCCAGTTCTCATCCCTGTGTCCTTCATATTTGCTTCTCCAAATCCCTCCCCCTTTTTCCCCTTAAATTCCCTCCCCTCTCCCCTCTGGTCACTGTCCCCTTGTTCTCTATTTCAGTGTCTTTGTTTTTATTCTGCTTGCTTGTTTATTTTTTTGTTTAGCTTCCTGTTAAAGGTGAGATCATATGGTATTTGTCTTTATTTTCATTTTTAATTGTCAAAAAAAAAAAAAGATGCTGCAGGAGTATACTTTGGCCCCCAGAGGGCGCAGGGTGGAAAGAAGTCAGAGCTGAGCTTTGACGCCTCTAGATGGCAGCACTACCTCCTTCCCAGGGCTGCTGAAGAGAATAGGAGGTGCTCTGTGGACGTTCAGTAAGTGGTGCTAGAAGACACGAGGACTGTGTATATTTAACTCGACCTGATTTTCTTTTTTTCAAGCTCCATGTCCAGTTTTTTTAAAAGAAAATATCCCTTGTCATGTTAGATATCGAGTGGTTAATTCATTTCGAAAAGGGTGTTGTCCAGAACTGAGCAGAAGGCTGTTGTGTGTGGTGCAGTGTGTGGCAGGGTGAGCCGAGGCTGTTCTCTCACTTTCTCCAGGACAGTGTGCTCTGTTGCCGGGTGTGTGTGTGGGCGAGGAGTGGGGAGAGTACGCGTGGCTCCCAAGACCTGGGTTCCTCAGGGGGCTCTACCTCTGGTCTTTGAAGTGTAGTACCTACTGCAGTGCAAAAATTGCAGAAACCTCTACTCTGTCCCCTTCTATCTTTAACGACTAAAATGGAGTGTGCATGGAGAGTGTTAGTGAGAGAGAATTAGAGAGGACAGTTGTATGTGTAAGAGCATTCCAGTATGCATGTGTGAAAGAGGGTGTGAGAGCATGTGAGTATGTGTGTGTGGCGAGAGGGGGGAGCAGGAGGCTCCCAGCTTTAATTCCTATAGCAAACACAAGGATACTGTTGAAAGTTCATGAACTTGGCTAAACGATGCATCAAATTCACAGTTCTAAATGTTCTGCCAAAGGCTGAAGCTGCAGACTTTCCCTTGAAGACAGGAAACAAAACACAAACCCCCTCTTGTGCTCTCCCTATTTCAGAAGCAGCTTATTTATCACAGATGTTTAGAGGAGTTTTTCTAACTGGGCAGGTTTTCTTTCTCTTTCTTCAACAGGTTAATGAAATGTTTTAAGCAACACTGATAGCACAATATTCACTATAAGGATTTCACACATCTATTGTTGCATGAATGTCGTTTATTTATTGAAATAAACATTATTATGAACACATAATGGAAAAATACTCCTCAAAAGAGGAAGGTGAACACTGACCATCAATAGGACAAAGCTATCTTCAAATGACAGAGATGTCGGGCAGTTTCACAGTTTGGTTTATAATTACACTGAGGAAAAGGTTCATCTATGTGTGTGTATCCGCAGGTGCAAGGTTTTCGATGAAGAGGCTCAGGAATGTCTCCAGCTGCTTGCGTGATCTGTATGCAATTAGTCCTCCCCTGTTGGCCCAGCGATCCACTCCATTAGTATTTTCATTTTCCACGTGGTACACCAACTGTGGCAAATCAAGCCCCGTTTCCAGATTTCTATCCAAGCATTCTTTGAAGCCTACCATTCCCCCGCCCATGGCCCTGAGTATGGCATGAGCAGCACAAGAGTCCCATTTGAACGTGGTATCTTCTGAAAAGATGTAAAAGTCCACAAAGCCTTGGACAACACACAGGCTCTTGTAACCAGCCCCAGCTGCCCGGAATATGCTGTCTCCACATACACGTGACAATGCAGCTTTGACGGCCTCCTTTTCACTTGTACTAATGACAGCTGAAAAATGGTGAGAGAGTTCAGCCGAGGAGCTGGTGTTTTCAGTCAGTTGGCTGCGAGGTTCACTGCTGTTTCTTCGAGAGATGGGAGGCTGATGTGAATGGATGTTGGTCCCCATGTAAGAAAGGCCCCAGTAGCACTGTCCTTTCCACCTGCGGAACAGAACTTTCAGTTTGCGGAGGTAGGTTATCACATTTGTTTATCATTATTCATATTGCTTCCAACTTCATGATATGAAAAAATATTTAATGTAACAAATCTCAGTGCCCTTAAGCCTAGACTTAGACATCAAGTAGCTAATTCATTTCTAAAAGTTACTTTGCATGCAGCTGTCTGTGCAGTTGCAGATGGGGATGCTTTCACTGTTACAGCACCATCACATCATCCAGGGTGATGCTAAAGTATCTGTGGGCTTTCTGGGCCTCTAGGAACACAGCACAATTTCATGGCTGCTTTTGGCATTTTAAGTTTCCTAAGGAAAAAGATGAACAGATAGATAATCTGTTTTTTCAATCTGCAAGTCGTTCACAATCCTCATAAGTTTTTTTTTCACCTGGTAACTCCTTTTCATTGTCTTATTCACAAGCTCCACTTCGGTTTTAACACGAAGAAAGATGGACTAATTTTTGGCAACAAATGTAATAATGGCACCTGTCATTTCTCAATATCAAATTTACTATGCATGTTTAGTAACTTACTCTATTTACAGAGGAGGAAGCTGAGGCTTAGAGAATATAAGAATCTAAGTATTACTCCAGGATCTGTGCCACTATTTTGTCAACTAATTCTAGGCTATGACTCTGTCGGCATCCAGTCCCAATTCTCTTTAATTTCTTAATGACCTTTTAAAGATAACACACACTTTCAGTTTGGAAGAAGGCAGGGGGAGAGCGAAAATGTCAAAATCCCAGAGGCATAGTTTATGACTGTTAAAGAACAGACAATTCTTAGCTGCCCAAAGTAACTCAGAGTTCAGTAAAAAATAAGTAGTCCTATACAAATAAAATGGTAAGACCTATGTCAGTGAAAACTCCGAAACCACAGGAGCACAGCTGCTGGCTTCCACCTGGACCCTGCCATGCCCTGGAGTCAATCCCAAAGCACAGACCGTGGGGTCGGAGGCCACTGGCCACCCTCCGCTCGAGTCCCCGGAAGGGTGACAAGGGAGGAGGCTGGCACATTTATAAGGGCAGCACCCAACAGTCAGGTTCTAATTTTCACATTTTGTTTTGAATTTCTCCTAAAATTGTGTACAAGTTCCACTGGCTGTGTAGTGATAGCAATTTTCTTACTCCAAATGTATTAGAATACAGTGTTACCACTGCTGTAGTAGTCTGGTTTTGAATGGGTTCTAGGAATGGAACAGGATTGCTACATTCCAGCAAAACATTGATTTCTCTGAGATACTATTTCTTTTAAAAGTTCCTACCAGCATGCACTTAGTTCCAAATAAAATTATGCCAATAGAATGAGGCCAAAGAAAAGAACTTTAACTCAAACATGCAGACTTTTAGTAGGAACACTCCCCAGATACCAGGTCAGAGGAATGTCACGTGGAGTGGTAATCCCGACACGAAGCAAGGCTGAGGCTGTAAACCCTAGAAACCGCCAGATTCCTAAAGGGTTCGTCTTTTACCTGAGGGTGTCTGGGTCGCGCGATACGAAAGGTTGGTTGATGACTCCCATCAGGGGCACGCCTGTCTGTATGTCGTAGACACCAATTAAAATGGTGACACACTGAAGGCCACTGGGGAAGATTCCTTGGTTGGATTCAGTGTCAGCAGAACCCTTTATATACTGGTAAGTCGAATCTGCAAATGAAACAAATTTGTTTGGATTCGGGTAACGACTATTGAGAAAATAGTGACTATATCTTTAAACTCTGTCCTACATAATTTCCTTCTAATTTACTAACTGATGTGGTCTGAATGTTTGTGCCCCCCCCAAAAAAAATTCTAACCCCCCCAAAGGGCTGGTGTCAGTCAGTGGGGCCTTTGCTAGTGCTTCGTCATGAAGGTGAACCCTCATGAAAGGCTCAGCGCCCATACAGGAGGCTCCAGGGAGGTCCCTGGGGCCCCCTCCCTCCGGGTGAGGACCTGGCGAGGTGCTGGGTGTGAACCAGAAACTCAGCACTCCCCTACCCGTGGTGGCACCTTGATCTTGGATTCCTGCCTTCAGAGCTGTGAGGAACACATTCCTGTTGTTTACAGACTACCTAGTCTGTGGCATTTTGTCATAGCAGCCTGAATGGACTAAGACAGTCACTGTTTGTTTTTTACCTTTGGGTGTCACTTGTTATTTGACCTCTTGTACTCTACTTTAAAGCTACTTGTGTTTGATTTTCCTGATTATACGGGACTTGAAGGGACGGGACAGGTCTATGGTTCCCGTGGCATCCAGCATAGCACTGTGAATATAATAAGCACTCAAATACTCATCATGTTGAAGGCATTTAAAAGCGAATAGTGCAGGCCCTGGCTGGTGTAGCTCAGTGGATTGAGTGCAGGCCTGCGAACCAGACAGTCATGGTTCGATTCCCAGTCAGGGCACATACTGGGGTTGCAGGCTAGTTCCCTGCAGGCTAGTTCCCAGCAGGGGATGCACGAAGGCAACCATACACTGATGTTTCTCTCCCTCTCTCCTTCCTTTCCCCTCTAAAGATAAACAAATAAAATCTTTAAAAAAAAAAGCAAATAGCGCAGGACAACTGGTGAGATGTTTAGAGCTCTTGGTAATCATGGGACAAGCCCAATGTGGATGAAGAAACCTCCTTACAGGAATCTGGCTGGGATGAAAGTACATTTTTCTTTGTGGTCACTCAGATTAGGAGGAAAGAGACAACCATGGCAGCACAAAAGGAAAAAAATTAATGGGGCTCATGTGAAAAAGAAGCTGAGGAGCTAGGTTTCTTTGAAGAGATGGTGGGTGCCAGCAGGTGACTGCCAGCACTGAGCGAGGTAATGCCCAGTGAAGGGTGTGCTGGGCAGAAGGTGGGGGGGGCTAGCTCACAGTCAGTTCAGGATGGAACCGAGGAAGGGGAGGTCCCTGTCCTCGGAAATTTTAACTAGTGCTGAGGCTTTAAGTGAAAAAAAAAATTGGGAAAGAGTCTTAGTCAGCATTTATAACCTATTGGCTGAATGTTCTAGTGGCTTGGCCAAAAAGTTCATGTAGTTTTTTTCCATATGGTGGCTGTTTTAACACTTAGTTGTCTTTAACTTCATTTGAAACAATTCTGTTAGATTGATTGTATTGTGACAGCTGTCACATCAGTGTGCATTTTAAAAACAAAATTGGTGAATTTTTGTGCCATTTTAATATTTAAGATGGAAGAAGATACACAACATTTTTGGTATATTATGCTGTGTTATTTCCAGATGTAAAAACACAATGGAAACACAAAAAGAGATTTGTGCAGTGTATGGAGAAGGTGCTGTGACTGATCAAACCTGTCAAAAGTAGTTTGCAAAGTTTCTTAGTACTACTGACACTTTGGCCAAATGATTCTTTGCTGTGGGGCTGTCTTACACATTGGGAGAGGCTTTGCAGCACCCTGGCCTCTATCCATTAGAAGCCAATAGCAGGAGATAGTTGACATACTCAAAATACCCAAATCAATAAAGTTATTGTTGAAAATGAAAAATGTCTTTTATTTTACAGAAAAAAACTGAACAGACTTTTTGGCCAACCCGGTGTCGTTCCTCATGACTGAAGGCCTTTCTCTGACACCGTGTGAGGGGCTCACAGCACAGTGGGGCGGGCGGAGGAGTTTGCTGCCCAGCACAGCAAATGATGCCTGTCGTACTGGACCGAACACGCCCAGCAGGTGGGAAGGAAAAAAAAGGAACTTTCAAAAATTGATACCTAGGGCACTGTATTTACAGATCTTTGAGATGAGGCCTACACTTCTAAAGTCATGAGCTTCAGATTTTGGTTCTATCACAATCGTGACCAAAAAGAATAAGCAATGGGCGGAGTTTATGTAGGGCTTGCAAACAACTGCTCACGAATCTCTTGAGCTGTGCTTTGTTTGGCCTGTACGGTGGTTTTGATTGCTTGTTTAATTGAACCAGTAGGCAGTGCTTAAAAAATGGAGTGATCTCACTTAATAATCTGAATTTTAGTTTCTCTTTGAAAAATCGGAAGATCTGGCGTGTGCTCCCCTATGGCAGATATCTGCTAAAGTGGAGTGCTCTTTAACTGGCGTGTCTGCTCAGTCAGGTACGGCTGCTGTCACGTCCTTCTCCTCTCAGAGTTAGCAGTCTGGCCCCTGAAGCCTTTGAGAGATGAGTTCATTCGACTCTGTATGTGGCACAGATGCCACAAACACACAAGTCAGTTATATGTTACAGATACACGGCTGTGTATAACAGCACCTCATAACACACACACCTCTTAATTTACCATTTTAAATGCTTAAAATTTTTTAAACTTTCAGGAGAGTTAAACTACACTCAATTTTTATTTTTCTAAGCTTCCCCACCCTAAAAGGAGTATTGCTAAGAACAAATTAATAAAAGCGAACACACTGTCCTCTACTCACCTATGGGATCCACCCAGATTCCCAAAATGTCCTGTGGGATGGTGATCTCTATTGAATCCAGAGTTGGGTCGGTGAGGGCGACATCCTGATGAACGACCTTGGCCAGTGCTTCAGATGCCGACTTGTTGCCATTCAGGACCTTGCCGAGAAGTTCTACCGTTTCTTCCTCTGTTGGACACAGTCTCAAGGTAATCTTTTCTCCTAGAGTAGAGACAAACTAAAAGTCATTAATTCAAGAGTTGCGGGGGAGAGAGAAACACGGGGTTCAGGGAGGGTGCAACAGCCGCGCACTTAGATTGAGTGGGAGCAGCCTGTCCATATCAGGGGCTCCTAACCTGGCTAACTGCCAGGGTCACGCTGGGCTGGGGGGTCATAAAGTCACAGATGCCTACTGGTCACCTGTGCCCATAATGTGAATAGTGAGGGATGGCTTCCAGGAATCAAAACTTCTCCCCAGGAAAATGCCTGCAGGAGCATATGTATACTGTTTCGTATGCAGCTGGAGGGGCCTCATGGACCAGTTAAGGACCCCTGAATCCTGAGTCCTTGTGACTTTGTAATATATATATGGGACCTGGTTGTGTTTGAATATGTTATTGCAAAGAATGGTGCTTTTGTTAGCACTTCAAAATGCTTCTACCCTCTTCTATGATGCTGTTTTTAATGAAAAATGTTTATGCTCAGTGAAGTGTAAGATGAAGTATACTAATCTTTAAATGTAGTAGAACTATATGACTGAATGACATACATAGAACAGCTCTCCTCTGTGAAACACTAGAAATCAGAACGTAAGCCCAGCTGCTTCTCTTAGTGAAACCACAATTTACCAAGTTCAGGTGCTTTGCCATCACTTTAAACACGCTTCTTAGCCCCTTGGTTCACGTGGTTTCCAGCTCCCAACAAAAGTGAGGAAAGAGGCTGGCCAAAATAGGCCAATTAATAGCAACAAAAATCGACAGCAATGGAGAACATAAACTTTTAAATATTAAGGAACTATGGCACTTCGGGGCTTTTTAGGAATATAGACAAACACGCCTAGCTGCCTGAGGCATTCCAAGGACCAGTAGCGTCTGCACCGCCTGGGAGCTGGAATTTAGAACTTCATACAAGTTGGTGGCTATAGAACAGTCGGGATGTAAAGTGCTGTGTGGGGAACGGGGTGAATTTTACTTCCGTAACCGTGCGTGGTGCTGGGTGGGCACGGGGGAGTATCAGGGAAACGCTTGGTGAAGCACATGATTGTCGAAGCACTTCCTCCTACAACCTGACACCTGACACTAACGTAGAAGGATACTGAGTGTAGATTATAATTGAAAGATAAAATTTAGAGTTCTTTTAAAAATAAGACAGAAATTTAGAACGCCCGGCCGTGTTCCAGACCCACAAAATCCCGAGGTGACTGACCTAACCATTAAAGTTTGGGAAGCACAGTATAAGTCTGTTACAGCGAAGCAACCAGAAACACTCGCTTAAACTCAGTCCAGTTAAATTCAAATTAAATTCGAGTATATAAGTTGAGGAATAATAATACTGATCATTGCCACTTACTAAGCAGCTACTGGGGCTCAGTAAAGTCTTGGGATCATTCAGAGGAGCAAGTCATCTCACATCACGCCTTTGCTTAAAATTCTCCAGTGAATTTGCATCGCGTTTGAAAAAAACCCAAACTTTTTCCTACAACCTTCCATGATCTATTCCTGTCTCACCCGACAGCCCTTCCCCTTCTCCACATTTCAGCCCCCCGAACATGCTAAGCCCATCATCTCCTGCAGTTCTCAGGAAAATGTATGTGGAATGCCTTTTTGCCCCTATAATTCTAGGTAAGTAAAATATTAAAATACAGTAACTGTTTATGAAGTAGTCACACATGGAACTCTAAGTGTAGGGTTTGTTACAGATTAGTCACAGGTTTGTGTTTTAACCTTCAGAAATTTAAATGGGATTTTCCTGCCTTCTGTGCGTCACAGAACTAATTGCAGCTTACACAGCCCATGCAGAGACACAAATTTTTTCCAGGGTTAATCTAGAAATTAGTTTTTCCTTCATAAATGTGCCCCTAGATGTTTAACTTTGTGTCACAGGATTAGTGTTTAAAGTTCACAATTTTAATCTCCCACCATGAAGCAAACAAAAAGCTCAAACTAAAAATAATTTATTTCTCTGAAAGGAATCAGATGGTGATTCTGATATTTTTTCTCTATACCACAGGGAACGTGGAGGTCCTTCAAAGGAGAATCTGGCACACTGGAAACCAATTAAATAAGGCTTAAAACCTGGTGTTAAAAGGATCATTTTTATTTAGTCCAGCTCCTTTTTGAGAGGTTAGAGAACAGGGAGAAGTGACGCGATTTGCTCACGATCACACGGGATTTAGGAGCAAGGCATCCTCTGTATTCTCAGCCAAGTGCACGACTCCCCAGCAGGGCCACAGGCGGGGTCCAACCTCAGACCCGGAACTGTCTGCACAGCTGTGCAGATGTGCATCTTCCTGGGGCATCTATAACTTCCATTAGGTTCCCAAAGGACTGTACAAGTTTTCGAAAGGTTAAATCATACATTATTTAAATACTACAGATTTATGTCTAAAATAATATGTGTGGCTTTGTTAAGTAACTCTAAGATACCACATTTCCCTAAGTTAAATGGCCTGGTATTCTGAGGTCATTCTGAAGTATTCTGAATAAAGTCTAACATTCAAATATTAATATATTGTCATTTACATAAAAGGTTTCCAAACATCCATTGATTTTATAATGTAAATTGAAAATTAAAATAGAAAATGTTAAATTAAGTTACAAAAATACATTAAGATTCGTATACTTACCCAAATCATTAGTAAACTCATTGGATTCTTCTCCAAAAATTTTTTCTCCCAAACCTGGAAACTGAATAATTCAGAGCATGACAACAAACCAAAACAATAAAAAAATAAAACCTATTTACATGTTCAATTCTGAATAGATTTCCATTTTGTATTTCAAATTACAGTAAGTAGCACAATTAGATCTGAAATTTAGGACTTTACAATTGCAGAAATCAATCTAAGCATAAAAGAATGAGGTCAGCTTGGTTCAGTACTTAGTTTTTTAGTGTTTTCCTGCTCCTTTGCCCTTACAAAAAGTCCAAGTCATGGGAGAAGTCTGGTTTGTCCTCAGAAGTCCTTATGTCCTTTTGAGTTTGCAGAAGTATTTCTGGCAACTCCTATCTACTTAAGGAATGTTTTCAAAGGAAATATTTTAATTGTTCCTTTTAAACAGCACACTAGTGGCTTATACAATTTAATATTATTCATCAAGTATATAAAATTATTACTTGAGACTAGATAGAAAGGATTAGCAAATAACATTACATTTTTGTTTTCAGTTTTCAGGTGTGTTTTCTGCACCTGTTGGAAGTATCATTCACCTTCAGGGTAGGAAGGTGATGTAGCAAAAAAGCAGAGGGAAATATTTTATTGAGCAATAATGTATGCATCAATATAGGATGAAAAAGTCTTCTTCTCTTTGTATAACCAGAAAGCTTTCACATATATTTTGCTTCTGACTTTCTCTATAGTTTTGCTTCCGACTTTCTCTATAGTAAAGATAATTTTTCTCAAAATATGTGCTGAATTATAATATGTGTGATGTTCTCAGAGAACAAAGGAAGGAGATGCTTTAAATATTTGAACTCAGTAATTCACAGGTGGCCAAGAGCTTTAATAATGCCTGCAACCCCTTGTTATTTGTTCAGTTTTGAAGAACAGTGCAAGTCAGTAAGGGCTGAGACCCAGTTCCCAGGCCTGCTTCTGTCAGTCATGAAACAAGGGTATTTCATATAGCCAAAACTGAACGTCATCTATTTGTTCATAAGTCCTGGCATGTTCCTCATTGACTGAGCAATCGCCTGGACTTGTTATAGTGCTCTGGGCCAAGTATTAGCCCATAAAAACTAATGTTGATGCATTTCTCATCCAGTTGCTCAACGGTCCCTTGCAACCAACTCTCTTGATCACTATCACAATAAACTTGCTTCATTTAGTATACTGTAGCCAGATAATATAGAGCATGAAAAAGTATGCTTGGTAGAGATTTCAAAGGGTCATTTATTCTCTCTTCTTGCCTGTGGTCGAGTATCTACTTAAATGATTTTAAATTATTCCCAATATTTTGAGAATTTCATAAAATACTATTCCAATATTTTATAGTACCTTTTGTCATGAAGTTCTATCCTCCTAAATCAAAAGTATATACCTGTAATTAGTAGATCATATAAAAGGCCATATAGTGTTGCAAAAAGTACAGACTCTGGAGTCAGGTGGCCTGTGTTCAAAACTGGCCCTGCCATTCATTTGCTGTGTAACCTCAGGCAAGTTGCTTAACCTCTCTGTGCCAGTCTTTTTTCACCCCATCAATTAACATAACATTTTATTCTTCATGCAATTGTTATGAGTTAAAAAGTTATAATAAGCTTTTAGAACAGTGCCTCACACATACTAAGCATTTATAAGCATCTTATTAGTGTAATTGTTCATTAAACTATTTATGAATACAGGGTTCTCCCAATCAGCTTAAGGTATCTAGAATCACAATTGTTATTTGTTATAAACCAACGATTCTACTAACATAAAGGGGGAGTTTAAGTCTACAAGCCCATAACCAATGCAACAATTAGATACATGAATATGTCAAAAAGATGGGACTTAATACATCAACATTTTTAAAAAGCTATGAAATAACTTTCAGTGATAAAATAATAGTTGTCATGACTATTGAAATAAATATGTGCCGTGCACATACATGCACACAGAAGGAAAACACTTGAACAATATATCCCAAAACGTAGCTGTGGTTTTCTCTAGTGGTGAGAAAAAGAGGATTCTTACAGTTGCTGATATTCCACAGAATGTGTACTATTTATTAAAAAGAAGCTTAGTATAAAGTTCTATTCTAAAATGTTTCTTTCTAGCTAATAGACTTCTGAGTGATTTTTATTTCATTATTTGCTTTTATGTATTTTTC